GTAATTTCTTCCGAGAAATGCGCACGTTGAAGTTCACGCAATACTAGCAACTCGGCATAGTCGTAATCGGACGCTAAGACATACGAACGTCGCGGTAAAAGCTTCGCGAATCGACAAACGTAAATTACGCTACGCAATAATTTCGACCAAGAGGACAAACGGTTCGCCAAAGCAATGATTGGAGAAACCTCGCTCGAAACGTTCGCCACTAGAGCGTGTCTCTTCTCTTCCGGCACTTGTGACACTGACGAAGGTTCGAAATCAGTTATTGGCCATTGCGAGGGATCCAAGTAAACCCAAGAAGGTCCGTGGAACCAAAGCGGGTGGTCCATTATTTGCATCGGGGTGAGTCCACGGGATAGACAATCGGCAGGGTTTTCCGTACCGGACACGTGATAAAAGTTCTGCCTTTCTAACTCGTCTTGGATCTTGGCCACTCGGTTCGCGACAAACGTATCCCAACGGTGGGGTGAAGAATGAACCCAGCATAAGGCCACGGTGGAGTCGGAAAAGACCAATATCCTTTCTATGTGAACTCTATCCCTACATGCGCTGATAACTGCGGTAATAAGCTTGGTGAGGTTGGATTTACCTTAAGGCTAAACACGTCGGACTCTGGTGACCAACACAGACCGAGCACCTTGTGTGTATCAGAATCGTCGAATTCCTTTATCGCCTAAAGAAGGTGTGATAGTGGGATTTTGTCTAAAACCGGACGCTAATTACTAGTCCACTTGACAAGATCGAATTGACCCGATTTCATGAGCTTTATAACCTCGGCGGTGGTTAGGGTGGCCTCCTCCACGCTATCGTCCGAGTATACAAAATCATCCATATATAAACCGCTCTCAATTGCCCTCTTAGCTTTAGGGTAAGAGGGACCTTCATCGTGAGCGAGCTGTCTCACCGTGCGTAACGCATGAAATGGGCTCGACTTTAAACCAAAACAAACGCGGTTAAATTCAAACACCATTAGAGGTTCCTTTGGGTTGAAACGATATAAAATGCGTTGGAATCTACGGTCGCATTCACGGACCCCTATGCAAAGGAACATTTGGCGAATATCGGCGGATAGTGCTATACTAAACAAACGAAAATTGGCTATATTAAATAAACTGCCCTGTAAATTTTGCCCACTATAGAGGATATCGTTAAGCGACAGGTGAGTGCTAGTTTTAGCACTAGCGTCGAGCACTACACGTAACTTAGATGTAAGTTTTTCCTCCCTAATGACCCCGTGGTGTGGTATGAAATACGACGGTGTGTCTTCGTAGTTATCTAATTTCGAAGCCACAAGTGATATGTAACCTTTCCTTATATAATCGTTAATGACGCCGTCATAAGCTTCGTTTAACTGGGGTGAAGCGAGCATCCTACGCTCCAAGCTGTAGAAACGTTTTTCCGCCATTTGACGCGAATCGCCGAGAGATAAAACATCTCCTTTAAAGGGTAGCGGTACACTATATCTACCGTCGTGATCACGAACGGTCGTGCGGTCGTAAATTTCCTCGCATAATCTGTCATCTGAGCTAGCTATGGGTGGGACGTTCACCTCCTCCATCTCCCAAAATTTGCGGACTAACGACTCGAGCGGTTCTACAGCCATACAACAATATGAGGTTGCCGAAATATTATCTATGATGGGGGCGGAGCCAACGATGACATAGCCCAATACGGTTTCCAGTGCGTAAGGCGCGGTATGCGAGGAGTTGCCACTGACCTTATTGTTTAACAAAAGATGAGGGAAAAGCGATGCTCGAATGAGCATGTCTATGTTTCCAGGAACGGCGTAAGTGTCGTCTACTAGAATCAAATTTTTAAATTCAACCATTGCCGAGGTGTCAACCGAAACGGTTGGCAGCCGTTCAGTGACCCTATCCACTACTAGTGCATTTATATCAAAGTTAACATTACCATCTATTCGAGAATAAAATTTTAAATTAATATATCCCTGGGTAACTTTACTAGTACCTCCGATGCCTTTGACTACGGGACATGAAAGTGACCTATTTATTACTAAGCCTAAGCGCTGACAACATTGTCGAGTTATAAAGCTATTTTGGGTTCCGCTGTCCAGCAGTGCACGGACGCTTTGTTCGTTTCCACGCGAATCCCTAACCAAAACACGTGCCGTACCCAGTAACACGGTTGAAGGAGGTTGTGCTCCCATATTTGCCAATGAGCACAGAGCGACATCACCGGGTCGACCGCTAGAATCGTTGACTTTAGTAGTGAATTCCTTGTCCGCTTTACTTGACGCCGATATGTTGCTATTTTCAAAATGTAATAACGTGTGATGTTTCCTGGCGCACTTGCTACATACGGAGCTAGAATTGCATTTTGCAACTAAATGCTTATCGCTTAAGCAGTTCAGACATAGGTTGTTTGTCTTTACTATTTTATAACGTTCGCTTGGTGAATATTTACGAAAAGTCGCACAATTGTATAAATTACCGTGTTTATCTTTACATATGATACAGGCATGCTGAAGTGGTGCCGACGTAGCGGTTAAACCTGTTTGACTGTTTGGGCTGGTGGGCATTTGTCGGGTGGAACGCTAAAACTTTGTGACCCGGGAGGAGATCGCGTTTCTCTTCGATTGTAGTTTTGTGCTAAGTGACGTTAGACTTCAGTTCAAATAACGGTAAAAGCCCACTGGAGTGATTGAACCTTGTGGAGCAGGGTAACGCATGTGGGTCTGCTAGCCGATTACATTGGTGACGTCAGGTTACATTACACACCTTCTTACACCACTCACACCTACCATTTACTTGCCCCTGACGGTACCTTGTGGTCGACCCTACCTCCGGAACTCGGTAGGTTTGCGTTTGCTTATCCAGCTATTATATAATAATTATCCATAGGCCATTTGGGCCCAAACCCTCTGGTTGCCCATCGAGTCGGGTTACTGATGAGCCCTAGCCCGGTCGACTTCTGTCGGGGCAACTGAGGGCCGTAACAGTATCATATAAATGTCAACGTTTGTCAAAATCCTCAATCTACAATTGAAACTACGAAGTCAATTCTCGTTTCGCCATAATATCATACGAAAGCACCATCTAGTAATATCAGCGACAGTAGATTGATATGCGGCTGGAGTGATCCTTTTGCTACCTCAAAGCCGACAGGCGTGACTGTTTATGTATGTTAAAAATTTTGTCAAAAAAGTGCGCTATTGGCGCCGCTAGCGGATAATAGTGACTCTATTTTACGATACTAGAATATTATGAAAAAACATTGTTAGGTTTAGTAGTCAATTTTTTTAAACAATGTTCATTCATCGATTTGGTCAAGCCTTATCATGATATGGTCAACAGACAGTTCAGCCACAATTCGTGAGAAATCATGATAAAATCATTTCTACGATCTGGTTACGACGTATACAAAAATATCCTTAAAAAAGTATAAGTATAATGATTTTTGCAATAATCGCAGGTAAACCAATGTTAACGAGTTCATTATTTTATATTAGTAATTAAACTAAAAAACATCTGATTTCACTATTATCTATTCATAGATTTATCTATTTAAATTATTACTATTAAAATGATTTATCTATTTAAATTATTACTATTATCTATTTAAATTATTACTATTAAAATGAAAGAATGAAAAACTTAAAATTAATCTTAGAAGTTTCAAATCATTTAATAAAGTATAAATGTAAGTTATTTATGTTATTTAATTTATTACTTAGTAACTAATAACTAATAACTGAAGGCTAAATATGCTACTTTTTACTTTTTATGACAGATGGCGCTGTTTCGGAATCGTACAATGTAGATCGTTGGCGTAGTTTTAAATAATTACAGTTATAACAAATTTTAAACTTTAATTGTAAATGTTGTATTCGTTTAAAAAACACTACATTATCCCGCTTATAACTAACAGTATCATACATAATAGAAAATTAACTTCTAAAGAAAGGAAAATATTTAACTCTCCATTTTTAAGTTCCGTAATCGGTAGCCCATAAGTAGCCCCGGGTCACTAACTGCCTGCATAGAAAATTTCATAGAGATTTGTTCAGTAGTTTTTGCCTGAATCTTTAATATACAGACAGACAGACAGACAGAAAGACAGACAGACAAAAATTCTAAAAACCAGTAATTTGGCTTCAGTATGCTTTATTTAGTCCCACGACTGCTCTACAGATTTATTATACGTATAGAATAGATAATCTATATTGAATAAAAAAGTTTATGTTTCTGTTTAGTACTCAGTGGAGAGAACAGTCAGAGCTCAATTATTATTTGTCCAGTACTACGTGTAACACATGTTGTACGTTATTATGAAGTTAATTTATCTCATCGACGTTACACATGATCTTTGTTTTGTCCATGTTCATCTAAAAACCTATGCGTCTGGAGGTACAATTGAGGTCATAGAGCATAGTGTTTAGGTCCTATATTATCCTACATTCCTAACCTATATTAAGAACTATATTATCGGAACATCGGTGAGTGCTGTACTTGCCATCGATGTTAATATCGTATCCTTTCCAGTTGCTTTCCAGTTCCAGTCCAGTAACTTGAAAACGTCTTCCAATGAAGCGGTGAAGAGTTTCGGGGATATAACGTCATCCTGTGTTACACCTCTCTGCGGTTGGATAGGTTTCGTACTCTCGTTCTGTACTCGGATAGCCATCGTAGCCCTACAGTACAAACACTTCACCACTTCGATACCTATAACGACTATCAACTTGGTTTCGCTGAAGGGAACTGCAGCATCGTCTGAACGTCGGTAGAATGTAAGGCTTTCTTATAGCCCATATACGCAAGACAAAGTCGCAGATTGTAGTATCTGGTCTTCTGTACAATTTGCCGAAGGGCATGTATTTGGTCTATTGTGCTAAAGCCTTTTCGGAAACCGGTTTGTTCAGGAGACTGGTAGTCGTCGAGTCTGCGTGCCCGATGATTTAATTAAATTTTATCAAATCCTTTAAAACGTAAAAAGGGAGGTTGCAATCCTAGTTGTATGTATGTAATGTGATGTCGCAGCAAGAGTTGACGGCGTACGTGCTGGCGCTGCTGACGGACGACGAGGCGCGCTGTGCGTGCGCGCGAGGCGGGGCGCGCGCCGGGGAGGGGGAGGTGGGCGTCGTGCCGCTGCGCGAGTTGCAGCTGTTCGGCGACTGTGAGCTGGCCGTGCTGGCCGCCTCGCGCGAGGAGTACGACGCGCACGCCAAGCTGGTGCGCGCCGAGTACTGTAAGCTGGCGCACTCCAGCTACGTGGAGCTGCGCATCAAGGTACCGCTCGGGGTGGGGAGGGGGAGGGCGAGGTGGGCGGCGTGTCGCTGCGCGAGATGATTCGAATTCGAACCTAGGGAAATCATGATCGCGCATACGACCTGTACGGTGCAACCGCACATATCGCCCGATCAGCATTTTCGCCTCATACACTTATTTTTATTGTTCATCAAATCAGTTCACATAGCATCGCCACACAGCGCGTTCTTGTACTCGTCATTAGCTATTAGCAGTTTTTAAATATATTTTCCCTTTTCTACCTCAAGCAGCATATTTTATTTATATCATCAGCAGCAGCATTTTAGGTGTAACGTACATCTTTATGGTCCTTCGAGCTTACCGTGAGCGGGACCTCTGTCGCGAGTGACCTAATTTGAATTGCGAAAGTGGTACACGCCACGTAAGTCAAACAGCGGCAGCGTTGGTAAGTCTACAGCTCTCTATTATAATCAGCAACTACAGTAATTGTTCAAAATGGAAGATCTTCTAGCTAGCCAAAACCAAATAATGGGAGCTATGGATAAGCTCCTAATCAACTTTTAAAAAGACGGCGCCGACCGCAAGACACCGGCTCATATTAAAAAGCGACTTAGCACTTTAGAAAGTTATTGGCTGGACTTTCAAAGTAATCATTTAAAGCTTCTTGAGTCGGACGATAAATCTCATGAATATTTGACTGGCAATTACTATAAAAGAACGTCCGATTTTTATAACGAAACGCGCAATTATATTCTTAGTTACTTACCGAGTGACTCTAAAGAAAAAAGCCTTCTCAGGCCAGCTACCCCATTGCAAAAGACAGGCTTTTCAGCCAGCGCGCTCCGTCCTGAAACTATAGCTGATGCAGAAGCATCCCGAATCCAAAGTACTAGCAGCAAGTTAGAGGATATGTTGAGAACGCAGAGAAGCAACTTCAAAGCTTTTCAGCGAACTGTTAGCAGCATCGATCTCGACAAAGTCTCTGAAAAATGGAAGTATGAGGATATTCTGAAGTCGGTTCAGGCACGCTGGACGATAATAGACGCCTTGCACTGGGAAACAGACAGCGAACTGTACGAAGATAATGAAGAATATGAAGAAATGTTCAGCAGCTATGAGCAAAAATTCAATAACATTTACCGGGAGAAGACAACCCCAAAAATGAACATCCCCATGTTCAATGGGAGATACCACCAGTGGTTGTCGTTTAAGGACTTGTTCGTCGAAGCTATACATAGCAACAGAGCCTTATCAAACTGTCAGAAAATGCAATTTCTGAAAAGTAAATTAAAAGGGGAAGCAGAGAAAATAGTGCAACATTTACAGATAAGCACAGATAACTATCAAGTATGTTGGGATCTTTTAAACCACCGGTATAACAATACAAAGCTTATTTTTAATTCTCACATGAGTGTCTATTTACTAGTTACGGATTTATCGCGTATATTTAACTTTTAAATACCCCGACGCTTTACAGCACTCATTCACACAACAGTCCTGCCCGACCATATTTAAATTAACGTCGGTATTTAAAAGTTAAATATACGCGATAAATTCCGAAAACATATTATTTCAAGTGTAGTGTTCGCGTAAATATAAAAAATCATTATGAGTGTTTTAGTGAACCAACCTACTATACAACAGCAGTCAGCATCTGCGATCAAGAAGATTCATGATACCACCAATGAATGTCTAAATGCCATCAAAAATCTAGGAGTTAACATAGAGACCCCATGATTGTTTACTTAATTACTCAGAAATTAGATGCGGACACACATAACGACTACATCGAGTCACTGAAACACCCAAGAGATTTACCGATTGTAAGAGATCTATTACAATTTTTGGAGGTTAAATTCACAGCCCTAGAGTCGTCAAAACGAAAACCAGACCTACAGAAGTCAAATCAGCAGCCGCAACAATCATCTCAGCTATCTAATTTCAAAAAATAATTAGTTTTTAAAGCATTCACGAGCAATCAAAATCCGTCATTTAAATCAAATAATTTCAATAACAAAAGTAGATTAGCGTCCGCACCGGAGCAAAAATGACCAATCTACAATAAAGACCACGCCATTCCGTATTGCGAAACATTTTCAACATATCGACCCGATTTTAAGCGACAAATAATATCCAAGCTATCTTTATGCCAAAACTGCCTTTATAACCATAACGGTAATGAATATTTTTCAAAGAAAAGGTGCCATAAGTGTCAAAGCAATCATCATACACTGGTTCACGAAGCCTTTACCGTATCAGCAAACGCTGCAAATCCGACTGCAACGACCGACCGCGCGGTGTCAAACTCACACACTCAGGACACTCAGGAGATTTTATTGGCAACCGCTATAATCAACATCCAAGCTGTCGATGGCACCCTTCACTCAATGAGAGCTCTTATCGACCAAGGGTCCCAAACTTCGATCATCACCGAAAATGACGCTCAAAGATTAGGTCTACTTCGCAAGCATTGCAAAGGAGTGATGTTAGGAGTAGGCGCGAAGGAGAACAGCTGCAAGGATGTTATTAATATCACTTTATCTTATATATACATATATATAGTATAGCATACATCTTGATGTCTTTATAATGAATCACGCAGTAAATAACTTACCAAACAAATCATTCGGAAAACCATCATGGGCATTTATTGAAAACATCCAACAAGCTGACCCTGAATTCTATCGTAGCAGAACAGCAGATTTGCTACTGGGCGCCGATGTTTACTCTTCCATCATCATGGGAGGAATCATCAAAGAAAATGACGATATGCCTATTGCTCAGCAAATGCGCCTAGGCTGGATTGTATGCGGAAACGTGAAATCGTACAACTGTAACGTGATTATGGTAGACATTGACAGCATACATAAATTTTGGTCGATCGTAGATATCAATGACACTGAGGAAATGTCATCCGAAGACCATCAGTTCCTTCAAAAGTACCAAGAGATAGATATGATGGAGATATGTAGTACGCCTTCCACTACACCCTGACGCTGAGGAGAAGTTAGGATTATCTGAACCCAAAGCTTGCGCACAATTTTATCAGCTCGAACGTAAATTTGGAAAAAAATCAAAATCTAGCCAACAATTACAAGCAATTTATGAACGAATACATCAATCTACGTCACATGCACACAATAGCAGCGAATTTGACACCAATACATTACATGTCGCATCACGCAGTTGAACGACCTGACTCTTCAACTACGTCACTAAGAGTAGTATTTAATGCATCCGGAAAAACATCATTCGGTCTATGTTTGAATGATGTCTTGTACAGAGGCCCAGAAACTCGTACCATCGATCTTCAGCAAGAACATTTAGTTTTGGTCCTTAAATGAAGACAGTAGAAATATGCCTTTACAGCAGTCTTGGAAAAAATGTTCAGGCAAATAATTGTGCATCCTTTTTTTTTTTAACATGGGGAAATGCCTACGCATACCCGCCTCGCGGGGGCAAGGACAGGTTATGTCGGACTCGCACCGACTAAAACCCCATGGTGTTACACCTTCGTCGCATATTAGCAGGGCTACGGGAACGCTTTCGCACACTTCCGCGGCCCCACCAGCGACTGCCGCCCCATGGCAGCACCTCATCGGGAGAGGAATATTCCTCCCCGTTCTCCTTCCCAAGTAAGGCGCACCAGAACACATGGCACGCCTTCCTCCACGGCCTCCAATTACTTCTGCGCAACAGACGCCCCCGCGTCCGATGCGCGAAGGCCATGGGGCCAGGAAAAACGAGCACTTAGAAGTACTAGCCTTCCCGACCCCAGCGGCGGATCTGGTCTATGGCTCCGCCGCCAACCAAGATTCGGCTGCGGAGGATAGGGAGAGCGGCGCCTCGCAATACCGACAATCCTCTCCCCCCGCAGCCCCATCACCACCGCATCAACGGTGCGGCCCCGTTTGAGTCGCGGAGGATAGGGCGAGTGGCGCATCGCCATACCAACACTCCTCTTCCTCCGCGACTCCACCTCGGCTGCAGCGGTAGGTGGGGAGGACACACCTCTCACCGCAGTCCACCAACACACATCCGAAGTGGGCTTCCCAAGCCCACTCGGAGTGGCCACCTCGGGCCGGCCCTCCACCTCGGACCAGCCATATGGGTTCCTCTTTGTTTCGCCGTGGGTGACCAAGCCACGGCTTCTAAGCCTCCCCCGCCACGACAAGGCGGGAACCCGTTCGGGGGGGAAATAATTGTGCATCCTGACGACCAACTTTATCAATACATAGTTTGGCGCGAAAGTTCAAATGAGCCACTCAGCAGATACCAGCTAAATACCGTGACGTATGACACAAAATCAGCTCCATTTCTAGCGATGATGACGCTTAAGCAGCTAGCTATAGACGAGCGTCAACGTTATCCTGAAGCATCGAAAGCATTAGAGCAGCATTTCTATATGGATGACGCTTTGTGTGGTAGCTATGATATCACGTCAGCCAAAAAATTGCAACAAGAGCTAATCGACCTATTTAAAACCGGAGGATTCAACCTTCGCAAATTTTCGTCAAATGAGAAGTCACTACTGGAAGATGTTGATGTCGCACCAAGCTACTCAAACACTTATGACTTTAAGCACCAGGAATCAACCAAAGCACTCGGACTTACATGGATTGCCAAGGATGACAACTTCACCTTCCAATGCAAAATGACAGCACCAACTACAACCAAACCAACAAAAAGAGTTTTATTGGCCGAGATCTCTAAAGTCATCGATCCTTGTGGTTTCCTTTCGCCAGCCGTGGGCCAGCTTAAACTATTATTTCAAAGTGTTTGGCAAGAAAATCTAAATTGGCATGATGTCATACCTGATGACGTAAACTCAAGTGGTTAACATTAAGAGCAGACATCGAGAACATCAGTGATATCGGAATTCCCCGATGGATTGGTACTGGAAAGGGAAGTAAAGTTCAGCTTCATGGTTTCTGCGACTCTTCCACCAAAGCTTTCGCTTGCGTTGTTTACGCCCGTATTGTCTATACACAGCATCTGTAACAATATTAGCAGTGAAAACG